GGAGATTATCAGTGTGAGGCTTTTAATTCTGTAAGCAACCAAACCAGCCACCGCTTCACAGTCACAGTTTACTGTAAGTATTTGTATCATTTTTAACATAACATTTATCACTGTGATGTCAGTTCTGTATTATCTGAATGTTTGTAGTCACATAAGCATTTTTCAGTGAAAGTAATTTGTGGTGTTCTTTATGTGTTTAGATGGACCAGAGATAGCAAATGTCATGGGACCAAATTTGGCAGAGGCAGGAGACTACGTCACATTCACCTGCAATGCAACATCTAATCCTCCCAGCAGGTATGAGTGGTACTTTGAAAATGTTCTGGTCTCCAACAAGTCGGAGTATGTCACACCGTCTCTGACAACCAACATGAGTGGAAAGTACCTCTGTGTGGCCTTCAACAGCATCAGTGGCAAAAACAGCACTGCCGACATAATGCTTACTGTTATCGGTAAGACTTAAGTGACCATTTTTTTTTGGTGTACACAAAATAACTTTTCATTCATAAAAAGGTGACAGGTGCCTCGGGGGAGAACTAAAGAGCTATTTTGTGATTTGCTTTGTTTGCAGAGCCACTGCAAAACATAATAGTAGAAGCACCAATGATGCCTGCCAAAGAAGGTTACTCCTATAATTTAACATGCAACACAAATGTACCTGCTGATTACATTTACTGGATGAAGAATGGGGAGCCACTGAATCAAAACAACAACATAGTTTTCTACAATGATAACAAAACACTTCACATCAGAATGGTGGAGCGCTATGATAATGCCAGATATGAGTGTATGGCTATTAATGCAGTTTCAGAGAACACGAGCACTCCTTACATGCTCTTTGTCAACTGTGAGTATAATATTTAGAGATTTTATGCAGTTGAGTGTCATGTTTAAATGAACAATTTTTAAGTTTTACATTTATAGTTGTTTAGATATTCATCTATCTCCTTTTCTGTTACAGATGGACCAGAAACACCTTTTGTTTATGGGCCAGCTTTTGCTGAAACAGGACATCAAGCTGTCTTCAGCTGTTCTGCTGAGTCAGTGCCTCCCTGTACGTTCTGCTGGTGGTTCAATGGATCCATCGTGGCCAATACATCAAACTATACAACCGATGTGTTGTCATTAAGCATGAGCGGAGAGTACAAATGCATGGCCATTAATAATGTGACAGGAAAGAACAGCACAAACTCCACGACACTCACCGTGATAGGTATGAAACCTTTAGGATTCAGAGGAATTAGATGAAACATTTTTAACATATGACTCTGGCTGCTATTGTGTTCCAAGAATAAAGAACACTAAAGAAATCTTACCCTCTCAACTCTCATGTT